CTATATCTATATATATATATACACACTTATTAGACCCTTCCTAGCAGTGACGTCTTTCAACTTTTTCTATCTGCTAGCCACTAGTAGCTTTTTCTCTTCCACAAATCCAAACCATAACCCCAACTCTGCTCCAAGTTCTTAATGTCTCGACATGGAAAACCCAACCCAAGACTGAAAATCAATCCTACAACGCCACTGCTACTTTTATAGATAGTGACGTTGGATGGTCAATTTATGGTCTCTAATGGAGTAAATTCATGTGTACGACTCTCATTGGAAAAATCATTCAAGCATGCATTTTGTAGCCGAGCTATGTACGTACTACTCCATGTTATGAGTTTTGATTTGGAAGTTCATTTAATACTCATCCGTATTATTCAAATTATTATATTTATTTGAAGTAATGCGATTTTTTCAAAAAAAAAAAAAAGTAGTAAATTTTTTATGATATTTGAATTAAAATTATGAACGGACTCAAACAAATAGTATGATATTTGAAAAATATAGTATAATAATAGATCGAGTATAATTACAGAGATTCAGCAATGAATTATATTCAATTGTTTGTTAAAAGATGGAAGACATCATTGGGTGGCAGAAATTACTGAGGGAACTCACATAATTTCTCCATTAAAATGACAATCCTCATTAATTTTTTTTTTATTATTATTTGGAGAGGGACAATGCTTAATAAATCGAATGGTAAATGCTGACATAAAATATTAAAAGAACGACATGATTAAGTACAACATAAATAACTAAGAAAATGACATGACTTTATTTTAAGATATTTTGACATAATCTTTTAATAGCTTATATACAAAAACATACTAGATGTGATTTGTTCATATTTTTCATATACAAAATACACTCATTTCAAAAAGAATTTATGACTATATCACAAGGTCATAGCAACTTTATTAATCTATAACATAATTCTTAATTTTTATTTTAAACACTATTATGAGGACAGAGTTCTCATGAAGAGTTTGCATACATAAAATCGTACAAGTTAATCAAAGACAAAACTTCATTTTAGTGAAAAGAAAGATAATATAAATTTTGGCTAAAGAGTAGTTGTTACTCTAAAAGTATTTTAATTTGAAATTTTTAATTGGTTAATCTTCCTAATGTTTTTTCTTCGAATGGTTAAGTCCGTGTTTCAAAATCTGGCATTATGGGGTTCATCCCAATGATCCCTTTATAGTTGGGTTATTATTATTTTTTTCAATGACAATTTAACCAGTGTAGAAAGAAAAGCTACAATCCTCCCTCTCTTGTAATAAATATATTTATGAGATGACATTTTTATCATTATCTATTAAATACTCGTGTTCTTTATTAATGTTTAATTGGTCAGTTATTTATTTGAAAATCCTTCTTACTTTTCATAATCTGTTGTTATTTGTGAAGCAAAATATATCAAAGTAAAATAATTGTAAAAATAAAAGATATACAACATCAATCAAGTTAATATAATGTTTTCTCCGTTTGTATATATAGAGAGTTTAGGGCCTGTGGGGTCTTGGTCTTTGGCGCCCTCACGCGTCATGCAAAATGCGGAAAGAATACCCCAAAACAAGAAGAGTGTATGAACGCTTTCTAAGGGAAGGGAGTGTGTGTACGTGTGGAGTATGCGCGTCGGAATATATTTAAGAGAGCGATAGAGGGGGAAAAAAACAAAAAAAAAAAAACGAAAAAAAAGATAGATAACAAGAGAGAGATAGAGACATTCGGACTGTCCCACTAAACTTTACCAGCTTTTAAGCGGAATTCGCTTTTCCTCTATGGTTAAAATAATTACCGCAGATAAGATCGTGTGATGGATGAGACAAATAAATGACGTAAGAATGCATGGTTGCGGAATTGATTTTTTTTAATCTTGCTATCTTTGATTCCATGAAATTGGAATTGAAACGACGATTAAAGTATTTTTCAATTTTACAGTTTTTAAGTGAAAATTCACATCTTGCTAAATTGGATCTCATGAAATTGAAATTGAAATTTAATTGAGTTATTTTTTTCTAATTTTAATTTTAAGATATGAATTCAATGCAACTAAATATAATAAAAGATTGAGAAAAAAAAATGTACCAAAATGGAAATTTAAATTCTGAAAAACCAAAAAAAAAAGGTTGAAAAAACCCTCGACCAAGCATTAATCTCAATCATTTTTACTTAAATATAAGATGATATATTGTCACCTATTAACATGAAAAAATGAGATCACCCAACACAATAAGGTAAGGTTATATTTTACGGTATCGAATTGATTAGTGCATTGAATTTGAAATTCACTTTAAATTCAAGGTTCCAATTTGGTGCTTTGAAACACAATAATATAAGTATACTTGATAACTTTATTGTAATTAGAGCCTTAGCTCTCCATATTTAAACATTAAATTGAAACGATTTTTTGAGATATATATATATATATATATATATATATATATATATATATGTATGTATATGAAATAAACTATTTAATACACCTTTCAATTCATTTTAAATCGCAACATTTTTATAATAAAGTTCTATCTTTGATTTAAAATTAACATATACATTTTTTCAAAAGTTGAAGCAGACATAAACCTGTTTGGTTCAGTTTTTTGAGAAAATATTTTTATTAGAATTGAAAATTAGAATAAAAGAGTTTTTTGAAAGCTTGGTTAAAAAAAAAAAACATTTCTTCATATATATAATTCTCCTAAAATATATTTTTTGTTCTTTGAATTTTTTATAATTATTTTTTAAGTGACAAACTAAGCAGCGCATTTTTTCACAATCTTTAAACTCAATCTAATATTTTTAATAAATATAATAAAATTTAAGATAAAGTATACTGACCTCCAATAAAGTTTGAACAAATTACACAGATAAATTATTCAACGTTACCTTTGATATTCCCTAAACTCCATAGCCAGGGAGCCAAAAAGTAACTTTAAGTGTAAATTTAGTAATGATCTTATACTAATATATTATATTACATTTTATACAAGACAAGGGCAAAAATTGTCATTTTAATAAATTTTGATCAACAAGTTTTCAGAGTTTGGCGTGAATTAATGGAATGAAATACAAATAGGGATGAAATAGGAATGGAATGGAGTTGTCATTATTCAAACTCCCCCTTAAGGAACTGTTTGCAACCATGATGATTCAAATTCTAACGTATTGTTTCTTATTCACTTGAGCCAACCCCTTGGGGTTCTCATTCATTCCCACTTGTATTCCATTCTATTTCCAACACTAAAATGCGTGGACGGTAGTCATCTTTAGGATATAAGAATGAAATGATAGTCACCATTTTAATGTTTGGTTAAATCAATTTAAAACCTAGAATAAAAAATAAAAAAGTTAAATTCTCCAAAACATCTCGGCCTCTTACATTAACAAATAAATTTAATTAACAAAATAACATTATTTTTATAATTATTTTAAATGAAATGGCGGCATCGGTAGTGGTGGAAGTGGAAGATGACAATGTTGTAGGTGGTGGTGTTGGAAGGAAGAGGTCGTGGTGGTGGTGAAAGGCAGTGGTTGTGGTTGTGATAATGATGGTGGTGGTGAAAGGTGCAGTAGCATTTTATGTGGTGGAAGGTGGTGGTTGTGGTAACTGCAATGGTAGTGTAGGTGGAAGGTGACTGCAGTGGTGGAAGGTAGTGGAGGTGGCGGCGGCGGTGGTGGTGAAATGCAATAGTGGTGTAGAAGGTGGACGGCAATGAATGTAGGCGTGAATATGGTGATAGCGACGACGATGTAGGTAGAAGGCGACGACAACCACGGTGTAGGTGGAAAGTGACAGTAGCAGTGGAAGGCAGTGTAGGTGAAAGGTGGCGACGACAATGATAGCGGTGGTGGTGGTGGCGGCGGCAGCAGTGACAGTTACGAAAAGTAAAGAAAATATCAGTGATGGTGGTTACTGGACTTGAAAAATAAATATTTTTTAAAAACTTAATTTTAATTTTTTTATTTAAAAATAAAATATTTGTTAATTATTTTATATAAATTAATTGTGAAATAAATTTTCATTAAATTAAATGCTCTATTTCATTCTTGAATACGCATGTCAAATTTTAACGGTGATGAAAATAACAAACGCTAAAATCTAACGTTGGTTGATTTGATTAAAGGGTGAGAGATCGAGAACAGTCAAACATTTAATATGTAAAGGACTGCGACAAATTGCTCTAACCAGTAGGAGTAGTACACACATACTACATCACAGGAGTTGTAATGCCTACCGTGCCCCAAAATTAACCCTTAGATTCAATCATCCATCACTACACTCATAGTCCATAGACCTCGATTTGATCGTTCCTCCCTGTCTCTCTCTATATGCTCTCAGTCTCTCTCTCTCTAGATTTGGCAGTAAAGGCAGTGCATCAGTGGCAGTAGTGCAAGAAAAGAGGGAGAGAGAGAGAGTTTTCATCGGGAAGGTAAAGCTTTGCAGCCAGCACTAGAAACCCTCAAATTACATGGGGACTCCCCTAGCTCCCTCATAAAACTCCCCTTCTGCAACTTCAACTGCAACCGCCGCGTGCGTTCTGCAAATATTTCTAACTTCAATCTCACAACTCCGAGAGTGAGAGAGTTAATGCTGTTAATGACTGACCAGAAATAAAAACACCCATTTCCAAAGACTATCTGAACAGACTTTCTCAGACCCAACCAAAACCAAAACCTTCTTCATAAACTGACTGACTCATTACTACTGCTACTCCACTATTTAGGATTTTCTGAAAAAGGGCTGAAACCATTAGCATAAACCGCGGGAGACCACTGCACATTCACCCTTCTAAAAGAGAAAAAGAGTTGTGTTACATATACGTGTGTGTATATTTATATATATATTATATAGACAGAGAGGTGGTCCATGGTTGTGTTGGGTTAGGGTTATATATATATAGGGAAAGAAAGGGGAAAAAATTAAGGAGAGAGAGATTAGATACTGTAGAGAGAGAGAGAGAGAGAGAGAGAGAGAGAGAGAGAGAGAGAGAATGGAGGGTGGTGGTTGTAGTAGCACTTCATGTTTGATGGGTTTTGGAGACAACAGTAGTCCAATGATGATGATGATGCCTCCGATGACTACTTCTCTCCCTAATGTTGACACCAATGCCCTATTACTACCTCTACCTCACTGCACCTCTACCAATCAACAACAAAACCCTCATCCTACTACTACTACTATTACTTCTCTGATGTTCCAAGACCATCACCATCACCACAACAACAACAACACAAGCGCAGAGTGTTCTTTCATGGACCACAACAACAACGATGCTAGCAGCTCCTCTTCTCTCAGGGCTAAGATCATGGCTCATCCTCACTATCACCGTCTCTTGGCCGCCTACATCAATTGCCAAAAGGTGAACACACAAGCATAAATTTTTCTACCCTACTTCAAATCAGTTACACACACACACACACACATATATATATATACCCCAAACCCAAATCGTACATGTATATATATATGTGTTTGTGAGTGTGTATGTGCGTGTGTGAATCTCTCCATTAAGGCAGTGAAAGACCCTTGTCCCTGTCTCGTCCAAGTGAAAGATCGATAGCAAATACTGTATTAAAGATACAGCTGTTGGATCTTCTGTCAAGTGCTATCTTAAACTATTATTTTACTCTCTGCTTTTATTTTCAGTGAAAATTTTGGGTATAATGGGAAACACATGCATTTAGACGAATTTATATCACTCCTAGAGGAAAATAGTAGTCCTTAAAAAAAATGCATTAATTTTGACCAGAACTACCATGACTCAGATATACAAGTCTTGGTTTTTGGTACCTCATCATTTAATAAATTATATATATATATATATGTATGCACATGTATGTTGAATTACTGATGATGATATACATAGAGAAGTATAATGAATTTATTATATATACAGATAGGAGCACCTCCTGCAGTGGTGGCAAGGCTAGAGGAAGCGTGTGCTTCAGCGGTGGTGGCCATGGACCACACCGGTACGGGTACGGGTAGGTGCCGTATCGGGGAGGATCCGTCCCTGGATCAATTCATGGAGGCCTACTGTGAGATGCTGAGCAAGTACGAGCAAGAACTCTCTAAACCCTTCAAGGAGGCCATGCTCTTCCTCTCCAGGATCGAGTGCCAGTTCAAAGCCCTCAGGGTTGCTTCTTCAGATTCTGGTGACTATGACTTCTCTTCCTTACATTTCCTATGCTATTGGTTTGTTTTGTTGCTTGAATTTGTTACTATCTATATCATGCATGTTTTTGTTTCCAATTAATTAATAATAATTATTTTTGCTTGACTTTAATTTGTTTGCTTTAGTTTACTTTTAACGGTTTCCAACCTGATCTATTTTTCCTTTTTCTTGTAATATTGTATCCCGTATGTCTACATATATGTGTGTGTCTCATTCTGATTAGCGCTGTTATATATTTTCTCTTTTTAGTTTTTATTTTAAATGATTATCTATACTTTTGAAACTGTTTCTAGACTAGGGTGTTTATCCTATATGGATGTATAGGTGGTGTCCCTTGCTTTGATATATTCTCTTCTTGGTGTTTGTGTCTTCAAGTTGGGAAGTGGGGTTTTATTTATTTTCTTTCATTATAAACATTATTTTCCAAGCTTTTATTACGAGAAGAAAATGGCTTCCAATACATTGTTTCTTTACATTCTCAATTTTATCAACTGTTGTGGTGGTGCAATTTACACTATATAGGTATGTGGAGAAAATTTTGACCAGCCAACAACTTGTTACATACTGAGTATTTTGTTCGATGCTTAAACTGCAAACTATAAATTATATAATTGTATTTGTCTACTGAAAAGCACTTGTCGGAGTGTGTCATCTAAAGCACACCCAAATGGCGAAGCTTGATTATCAAGGGAAAATTCTGGGAAATGTCACTAGGTTTGGATGCTGTTCAAATGTGCAAGGTTTTGCAGTGAAACAAAGTTAAGCTATGTGGATCTACCGGTTCACCTTGTGGCCTATTGGCTTATGGCTTGAAGCCTTGAACCCTAAACCACAAGGCCAAGGATTTGAGACTGGTAGAATTTATGCCAAAGATATCTGGAGCTAGAGACCAGATTAGAAGGAAACAACAAGGTCTGAGAGATAATAACATATCGGGGCAATTAGGTTTAATTAATGTCTGAACAAGAACGGATTCATTTTTAATTTCATTTTTTTGGTAGTAGCAGGTGCTATATTATAGACACATCAAGAATCAATCACAAATTTGAAAAAGAAAAGAAAAGAAAATAATTTTTATTAAATTACCAGAACCTTAGGCGGGCTCATATCATATGTTACTGAAGCACTGTCGACAAATTTCATGGTTGTCAAAGAAACTCAATACTCTATCCTTTGCTGACCAGAAAAAAACTCATTACTCTTTGCTTTATGTAGAGCATCAAGTTTCTGTAACTCTACTGACCTTTTTATTTATTTATTTTTATAAATTTATGTATACATTTTGATCGATAAAATTCAATGGCCAAAGATGATACTTAATTGTTAACGGTAGGTGGATTTCTCCCCATTTTCATTGCTTCCATTCTTTTCTTCTACACGTGTAGAAACGTCCAATTGACAAATAACAAATTTAATTCATGCATCTGAGTTAAAATATGAAATTGTTATTGGGTTTTAAGATATTCTCAGAATTGGAGTGCCTGTAGTCCTGTAATGGAAGGGACATGTACTAATCACACAATGCATTGGTGGTTCTTAAGAATCCATGACATTCCTCCTGGACGCATTTGTCAAACTTCCATTCACTCTTTATTTGTCCAAAATCCATGGTAAGGTGTTAATGTGGATTACTGTGTTCAATTGTCCAAAAGTCAGTAAAATAAAGCTCGTCAGCAATTTTAGTGCAAAGCATGAAATACGTGCTCATCATGTACTCAATGAATTTATGACTTTTTTACTCACTTCATGCTCATCCAATTTGACGTATTAGTAGGTACATTGAAGACATATCCCTCCTAGATCACCACAAAGTTCTTGGAGCAGAATTTTTTTTGTTGTTTAGTACAAAGCTTGATATACGTGCTCATCATGTACTCAATGAATTTATGACTTTTTATTTTACAGACTTTTTTACTCACTTCATGCTCGTCCAATTTGACGTATTAGTAGCTACATTGAAGACATATCCCTCCTAGATCACCACAAAGTTCTTGGAGCAGAATTTTTTTTTTTTTTGTTTAGTACAAAGCTTTTTTTTTTTGTTTACTTGATGAATTTAGGACTATTTTTATTTTACTCACTTCATGCTCATCCAATTCGATGTATTTGTAGCTACATTGAAGACATATCCCTTCTAGATCACCACAAAGTTCTTGGAGCAGAATTTTTTTTTAAAAAACTGGATGGTAATTGCTAATCATGTAAATAAGCATATGATTATGCAATCTAGTTCCTTCCAACTTAATTTGGGCAGCACTTTGTTAATATATAAAAATTGAATACTGTGTTCAATTCAATTTGTATAGGTAGTATAAGCTGCTGGTAATTTATTTATTTATTTCTGGTAAAGTTTATTACTCGAGAAATAGGCATTTAAGTCCATGACTATCCTGAATTTCGGAATTCTTCTAAGTTGATTTCACTTTAGAACTTCTATTCTTCTGCCATGCAGGCATACATGCACTTTTCCTCACGTGGAGCAGTTTGAGTTCTTATTTTATTCTCAGCAATAATTTATTTATATATTTTCCTGTAAAGTTTATTGCTAAAGAAATAGGCATTTAAGTCCATGTCTATCTGAATTTCGGAATTCTTCTAATTTGATTTCACATTAGAACTTTTATTCTTGTGCCATGCAGGCATACATGTACTTTTCCTTACGTGGAGCAGTTTGATTTATTGTTCATTCTCAGCAGTAATTTCCCAAACAGTAGAATTCATGCAAATTTGTTTTCTAGCATGGAAAGGTATTTCAGCAAATACAAAGACAGCTCCCATCCTAAAATGAGCCAAGTTAATTTGCCTACAATTGATGCCAATATTTTCTCCACTGCAAGAACTTATTTAGTATAGCTGGTCAACAAATTAAACAAAGCTAGTTATGCCTATAAAGAAACCTCTAATGACTTTAAGAAGGTCCCTATGGACTGACAATGTTTTTTATTCCTCGGTAATTATGGACTGACAATGTTGATCAAATGTATATTAAGAAAATACAGTTTCCTCACTTTGTTGGCCTTGGAAAAAGGACACCTGTAGCTATTAAATGAGTAGAAACTTTTGATAGGGTAGAAACTTTGAAAGGTGCACACCTGATTCTGGTGAAGATAAAAAAATCAAAGATATTTTGGTCTCAACAACAAAACTTAAAATATTTCTATTTTTTAAGTCTCAAAAAAGTGCAATGAACTTGGATTAGAAATTAATGTGTATTGTGTTATGTCATTCTGATACTAATGTTACTTTTGCTATGTTTGGGTGTACCAAATCAGCAGCTTGGATTTGGAATTGGAAGAAATTTAGTTAAAATTTTGAACTATATTTTTTCCTCCAATCCTAAATTCAAAGCATCGATTCGGTGCTTCCAAACGCAACATTTTTGAAATTTATTGTATTGTGTTATACTTGGATTGTTGATCTTCTCCACGTTTTGTTTTGATAAAAAGGTTTCCCTGCCGTCTGTTTGGGAAACCCGCTCCTTGTTGAACTTGGCTTGGAACTTGTACTGAAGTGGCCTTCCCTTGAAGCATTTCATTCTATGCATGCCATATAATCCCACATGTTCGGAGCATTTTGCATATCAAGTGTTGTTATCACCCTGTGAAATCAACGTCAAACTTCTATTAGAAATATTTATATTAGCATTTAGTCTTTTTCATGTCCTTCATTTGCATAATACAGAAGTTTTTATTGCGCAAGAGGTTCTTATAAATTAAAGGTAAGTTTTATTTTTCAAGGGAAGGTGTAAGGAAATACAACTAATTTCACCTTTCCTTTCCTCTGAGATACATATGTAGACTTGTCAATGGCTTGGATTCGGATCAGATCGATCAAATCCATATCCGATTTGTTTAGTAAACGGATTATCGGATTCGGATCACTAAAGGGTTTTCGGACCGCATGTCCCCAATCCATATTCTATTTAGCTCGGATTCGGATCGAATCGGATTCGAATTCGGATTAAAATCATATTTATTAACATATATAATTATAAAGTTAGATGAAGTGGAGAATTTTTAACATACAGAATGCTACATAATATAACTATGCAACCAAATGAATATAATGATAAATAATTAATATATATAAATTTAGTAATATATAACTAATATATATAACATTGATGAGAACACCACGCTATTAGTATGTATGTTAAGAGATTTATTAGCATGTAAATGAGAATACCACACTATTGTATATACTATATTGATATAAATATGTAAAATTATTGATATATAATTATTTTTATATATAATTTTAATCGGATCGGATCGGATCGGATTTTTATCGGATCGGATCAGCATAATCCATATCCGATTTGTTAAGCTCACAGATTATCGGATTCGGATCGTAATTGGGTTATCGGATTTCTTATTCAATACATATCCGACTAATCGGATCGGATTTGGATCGGATCCGGATCAAGATCGGCTCCATTGACAGGTCTATACATATGTATAGAGGTTGCAAATATGATTTGGTGATCATATAGAAGTCACACTTCCTTTAGAATTATTTCCGGCTACTTGAGGCAGGCTTTAACAAGATTTGAACACATGATGTGCTAGATTACACTTATTTTATGTGAGCTTAATGACAGTAGAGTTTGATTTAGGCAGCTTTTGGGACGTTTTCCACCGTCATGGGACTTTTTGTGAAACCAAGTTTTGGAAATTTGTGTTGATGTTGAGATGCATGCTTAATCTTTTCCTGTGTTTATCAGCTCGTGGTGACGCTTTGGATAGAAATGGATCATTTGAAGAAGAGTTTGATGTGAACAACAATTTCATAGATCCGCAAGCAGAAGACAGAGAACTGAAAGGTCAGCTCTTGCGCAAGTACAGTGGATATTTAGGCAATCTTAAGCAGGAGTTCATGAAGAAGCGAAAGAAAGGAAAACTGCCTAAAGAAGCCAGGCAACAACTGATGGATTGGTGGAGCAGACATTACAAATGGCCATATCCATCGGTATATCTTCTATATTTTCCCTAATGCCTTGATTATACTTTTTGAGTTTATACCGCATCAATATACATAAATTCATTATGATACGGTGTTGATAACGAACGACTCAATTTCATCGTACTTGATAACTAAAGACTCAATTTCATGGTCAGTACCTTGACTCTGCCACATATTGATACCCCTTTGGGGACTCTACTAGGTACTAGTTGTGTAGGTTGTCAAGAATTGAAAAATTACACAACTTGCAGCATGCATCTCGCATGAATGTGCTGCCCTGTGATCAAATTTAGCCTGTAAATTGTTGATTAAATTATGTTCGATCCCAGTTGAACTTTTAAGGCATCTTGGTCACTAGAATGTCATTGAAAACATTAGGTTGCTGGTCACATTTTGCATTTTGTGCTTGTATCACACACACACACACACACACACACACACACATTTTGTGCTTGTTGATTAAATTATGTTCGATCCCAGTTGAACTTTTAAGGCATCTTGGTCACTAGAATGTCATTGAAAACATTAGGTTGCTGGTCGCATTTTGCATTTTGTGCTTGTATCACACACACACACGCACACGCACACGCATCTGTTTATTAATTCTTATGCAAACATCATCATCACTGGGGGACTTGTTAATGTGTCCACAGGAGTCACAGAAGCTGGCGCTTGCGGAATCCACAGGCCTGGATCAGAAGCAAATAAACAACTGGTTCATCAATCAAAGGAAGCGACACTGGAAGCCTTCGGAAGATGCGCAGTTCCATCCCCATTATTACATGGATAATGTCCTTGTCAATCCCTTTGCCATGGATATCTCGCCTACGCTCCTCTAAATTAGATATTATGGTGATCCTTATATATTTCTCAACTCAACTTGTATTCATGTGTACTATTGGTATGCATGTCTGTCATATTGTCATGGTTAACCTAATTAAGACTGTAAAATGCAATGCTTATCTATATATAATAGTTTTGCGATCCAGTGTTGTTGTCTTACGTGTTATTAGCTAGGGGTGGCTACAACTTTGCATCACTCTCTCTTGATTGATTGTATCAACTTCTTAAGATTTGGGCAAAATATTTTCACCAATTTAGCGGTTCCATTGTGAAACATATATATTGTTTGTAGGGATAATTCCATAAATTTGGGGGTCAAATAGACAAAATAAAATTTTATAAAGTCTCACATGGACAAGAAAAATTATTGTACATTATATTTTTATTTTCAAAATACTCTTCTATTGTGTTTTGGAGGGAAGTGAGAACAAAGATTTGCGATTTTTTTTATTTCTTTATTTTAATTGGGTTTGCTAGTTAAATAGTGAATATATTAGAGCTGCTAGCTTTTTAAGTGCTATTAAAGAATAAAGACAAAATTATTATTAAACTAGTTCCATCTTTTGAAATATTAATGTGACATTGTTCACCCTTTGAATGAGATTTATTTATTTTTAGTATATAGCAGTTCACAGCCTATTGTTGTCTTGCGATTAAGCAGACAAAGTAAGAGTCACAAGTTTTAGCACGAAGCGCGATGGTAAATGTTTGGTGGGACGACATTAAAGTAAAAAAATGTGCTTGTCACAAAGTCGTCCCATCTGAATGTGAGAACTTGATATGACCAGCGACAAATATGTACCTGACCATTTTGTCTATGTGAACTGCCACCAGGTGCTGCTGTACCAGTGTACCACATCCGACCCATCCCAATCTTTGTTGGAAAAAAAAAACAAAAATCCCAATCTTTGTACGTGTGAGCTGGACCCCAATTACTGCACCTAACGCAAACCGAAGTCATTTTACTCTGAAAAATTATTATATTAATCCGGACTAACCCCTCTCCAAATTTTGGCTCTCTAAAAATTCCACTTCAACTTTTCCAAGTGCCACGTCAGCAATTCCAAGAGTCACGTTAGCAGTTTTCACTCTCTAGAAATATGCACTCCATCAGGTTCTCCGAATTTTTGTTCTTAAAAAAAAAAAATTAAATAAATTAAATTAAATTTTAAGATTAAAAATAATAAATTAGAATAAGAAAATAAGAATTACAAAATCCTATGAGAATAAGAAAATGAAATTTTAATTTTAATTATTTTTTTTTAAAAAAAAGTTTTACAAAATTGAATTTTTTTAAAAAAATTTACAATATTATAACCTTTAAGAGATCGTTTGTGTCAGCCAAACAGTGCCTTAAAGGTTAAATGCACTGTTTATGGTAGTAATTTAAAATTTAAAGCAAAATTTTTTTTAAAAAAAAATCAAATTTTAAGGAAAAAAAACAAAAAAAAAAAGGTTTTTTAATTTATTTTTGGCACAAATAATTTATTTTTTGGACAAACAGTGTCTAAACAATATATTTTTTTATTTACTGAATTTTATTTTATTTTATTTTTAAAAAAATAAGCTCAAAATAACATATTTTGGATTTTTTTTATAAAAAAAACTAGGCTGCCAAACAGTGCCTTGGCACTGTTGCAGCCTGAAACGTCGTCGCTTTGCTAAGGAAAAAGACAAAAAAAAATTTCCGCGATATGGCTCGGGCTCGCGGAATACCGCAAGCCGGGCCGCGAGCTGTTGTGGGCCGCGCCCAATTCCGCGAGGCTGCTGGAGTGGGTTTGGTTTGTTTGGCTCGCGAAAAGGACCTTCCGCGAGCCCACTACGGATGCTTTAATTACCATTTGATATTAGTCCAGATCATATAATAATTTCTCTTTGAACTTAATTTTGGCGTAAATAGTTTATAAGTAACAAGTATATATTTTGAGTTATAGAATGAAATCGAATCTAAAAAAAACTATATTTATTGAGTTGTAAAATAAAACCGAATCTAGCAAGTGAGGGCGTTTGGAACCATCATCAGTATAGGGAAGCAAATAAGTTTTTCTTGAAGAGAGGGCTATTTATATTTTTAGATATATTTTTCTCATCTGAAAAAGATTGCGGGAGGCCCTAGTTTGTTCCAGATGAAACCAAATTAAGCTTGGTGTGAAGCGCTCAACAATGTCCTTGACATGTTTGGACAATGAGAGGCATTGCACTAGTTTGATCATGGGCTCTACACATTACGGGGTTTGATATACAATTTGCTTACGCCTCTACAAACCAAATTACATTTTGAAAATTAGAAAAGTAATCAAGTGGTTAAAAAAAAGACATAGCTGTGGCCCACTTAAGCCTTAATGTACATTCCCTCTATTGTTACAGACTTACAGTGAAAGGTTCAAAATGATTAAAATTCTGAAGTTATGTTTTATTTATTTATTTATTTTTCTTTTTTCTTACTTTTTTTATTATTATTATTATTATTATTTTTTATATACAGTAAGTAATTCTAAAGTTATTATTATTATTTTTTCCTACTTTTTATTTATTTATATACAGTAAGTAATTCTGAAGTTATGTTTTGAATAAATATTTCTATCTTTGGGAAAAGGAAAAAAATAAAACACTAGTACACATATAACACGCTGATCAGAAGAACTTGAAAACTGAGTTAAAATTTGACAATACTTTGCACAACACTACTATTCTCAAACAGTAGTCAAGTGTAAAGATGTTAACCAGTTTATTTACCCAAAAAAAAAAGGAAAAAAAAAAAAAAAGAAAAAAGAAAAAAATACTGATTCGTATTTTGTAAGACTTCAATATATTTTGTCAGTATTTAATAACAATATGGTCTCCTTTCTTGAAGTGTTAAACTCATTATCAGTCGATAACAAAAATCCGTAAATTTATCTTTTTCTTTCTAAAAAATAATGCATCAAATTCAAATTTGTTTGATATGGGATGAAAAAAGTAGACAACATAACATGCCTGCATGTCTCCTAATTTCCGCGCAGTTCTGTAAAACAAATGAAAACTAGCTGCTCAAGGATAACGGTTACTTTAGGACAGCTGATCTCTTGCTTTAACAGCTCTCTAAATAAGCTTTATTCACGTTAATTATGAGGTTAAGTACTTGCTTTTGCATGGTTTATATATAAGTACTGCTTAATCTCTTCTCCATTATCTATCATTTTCTCTTTCCCTTCTCAGATAATGGTAAAAGAGGTAGATATATTGGGTTCACCGCAATGTCGACTGCTCATTTATCTTGTAATTGCCATTGCTTGTTATGCAGAAGAGAGACAAATATATTTGGTTTTAATGGAAGGCGATCCGGTTGCATTTCATCGAGGTTCAATGCCTCCTGAGCAAGGAAGAAAATTTGATCCAAACAGGTGAGAAACACAAAAAATACCCACATGTACGTTTATATGATCACTTGAATTATCAAATTATTGATGGTAGAATTGGAAGCATATATACTTAATTATGATAATACAGTTGCTGATCGAGTACTTTACATAATTTATGATTACATAGCCTTGTTTTTGTCTTCTCTTTAATTCGATCAGTAAGCTGGTACGGTTACTAATAATTAGTAATAATTGTTAGTGAAGTCTGTAAGGCCCATGCAAAGCACTTGGTGGATTCTCATTACCAACTGCTACAGAGCACTCTCGAAACGGGGAGTTACAACAAGCTTTACAGCTTCAAACACATTGTCAATGGCTTTGCTGTCCACACAACCCCTTCTCAGGTCCTCTCTTTACCCTTTAAAAACTTTCTATTCATATTCCATTATAATTTTTTTAGCTAGCGAACTTCAATGGACAATTAAAATAGTGCGATCTTAGCTAAATTGTCACAATTAATTTCAGGTTAAAAAAATCAAATACGCTCCGGGAGTGAAGTTGGTAGAGAGAGACAGGAAAGCGAAATTGATGACTAGTTACACCCCTCAATTTCTAGGGTTACCAGGAGGAGTTTGGGCACAAGAAGGGGGAGATAGAAATGCAGGGGAAGGGATTGTGATTGGAATAATTGACACGGGCATCAATCCACAACACCCGAGTTTTGCTTATGATCCTACAAATCCTTTCACCTCAAATCTTTCTCGATTTTCTGGTGCATGTGAGGAAGGTCCTCGATTCCCCACCAATTCCTGCAATGGTAAGATAGTTTCTGCAAGGTTTTTTGCGGCTGGGGCTCAAGCTGTTACCACTCTCAATGCCTCATTTGACTTGCTCTCACCCTTTGATGCAGTTGGACATGGCAGGTACAATTATAAGTTGCTTTTATTATAAGGTCTCTAGTATACATTTTTATGAATAACACACACATGCATGTATTTTGTAAACTTGTAAACTATGTGTTCAAAGAGCTTTTTTTTTTTTTTTTCCTTCATGTATACGCGTGATTATTTATAGATTTATGTACTTGACAAGGAATAATATATTTTGTTCAGCCATGTAGCTGCAACTGCTGCTGGTAATTTTGGAGTTCCGGTTGTGGTGAATGGTTATTACTATGGGCGAGCTAGTGGAATGGCGCCACGCGCAAGGTATGTCTTTCTTGCATTCATCTTCTCTATGACCCTTGATTGTATATGCATCCTCACATGAAACTTAAAATGGTTAATTAGGATAGTTTTCACAATTACTAGTGCTCTTGTGAACAATTGATGAGATGTCTTTTTTGATCATATATATATTTTTAACAGAATTGCTGTGTATAAGGCTATATATCCAAGTTTGGGAACTATAACAGATGTTGTTGCCGCAATTGATCAAGTAAGCATGAACTAGCTAGACTTATATATATATATATATATATATATATATCTCACAAATGATATGATTGTAGCATCCAAAATGTTGAAAAATCACCCTATATATATATATATATATATATATGTACTGCAGGCAATACGAGATGGAGTGGATATCCTAACACTCTCCATTGGACCAGATGAACCGCCAGAAGATACACTCACATTCTTAAGTGTGTTCGATATTTTCATGTTATTTGCGCAAAAGGCTGGAGTTTTCGTGGTGCAAGCTGCAGGTAATCAGGGGCCAACTCCTTTCACTGTGGTATCTTATAGTCCTTGGGCTATGGGTGTGGCTTCTTGCAGCACGGACAGAGTATATTCTGGTACCCTAATCCTTGGCAATGGTCAAAGAATCGACGGCGTGGGATTGTCAGGTTACTTCAAGTTTGGATTCATTAATTATAATTTCCTTGCTACAACTATCTGAACTGATTATAATTCTCAAACTTAGGACCAAGCTTTGGTGATGGGTTATTGCAATATAAGTTGGTGTTAGCTAAAGATGCAGTTAAGGTAAGTGGGACATTCCCAAGAACTCCGGATTACATAGAGGAGTGCCAACATCCAGAAGCACTCGACTCCATTATTGTGCGAGGTAGCATTGTCATCTGCACATTCTCAGCCGGCTTTTACAATGGGACTTCGACTGTCACAGCCATTATCGAGACATCAAAGGTTTTAGGATTCATGGGTTTTGTGCTGGTGGCAAACCCAGTCTATGGCGATTTTATTGCAGAACCCGTTCCTTTCTATGTTCCTGGCATAATGATCCCAAAAACAAATGATGCCAAGGTATGCATGTCACAACAGAAACAACTATAATGCGTCTTTTGGACCAACATTGGCAAAATGAAAGCAAAGGCTTTCTTGTTTTGTGTTGTAGATCATATCGCAGTACTATGAACAGCAAACACACAGAGATGAGAAAGGATTTGTGATGAGTTATGGCGGAAGAGCAGCCATAGGCGAGGGAAGAGCTGCTTCATTCACCGGGCGAGCCCCTATTGTTAGCAGATTCTCTTCAAGGGGACCTGATTTCATTGACAAGAGCAGGAATCCTACTGATGTGCTGAAGCCTGATATTTTGGCTCCAGGACACCAAATTTGGGCAGCTTGGAGCCCCATGAGTGTCTTAAATCCCATCCTATCAGGTCAATTTCAATATATATAATATATATGTATATAACAAATTTACATTGCTGCAGGTTGATTTCTGATTCGAAAATGATTTAGGTTAAAAATGGTTTGTAGGATACAACTTTGCTCTATTGTCTGGCACAAGCATGGCCACACCTCATATTGCAGGCATAGCTGCACTGATCAAGCAAAACAATCCGTCATGGACTCCGGCTATGGTTGCTTCGTCAATGTCAACCACTGCCACCAAGTATGACAATTCTGGAGAACCCATAATGGCTGAAGGATCTGATACCAGTAGCTTGTATCCCTCCACTCCTTTTGATTTTGGCGTCGGCCTAGTCAGTGCAACCCGTGCCACCAATCCAGGCCTTGTCTTACCAACAGGCATGTTTAATTTCCTCGCATTGATATAAGTATACATACATATATGTATAAATAAGCTCGAATCTTTATGTAATTTTGAAGCAGGGTACGAGGATTACATTAGCTTCATGTGCTCTCTACCCAACATTGACCCAGCAACAATCAGAACTGCAACTGGAGGAACATGTAAGCAGTCCTTTAGCGCGCCATCTGATCTGAACATCCCTTCAATTACAATATCAGCACTGGTTGGATCTCGATTAATTCAAAGGACCGTGAAGAATGTTGCAAGCATGCCGGAGACATACTTGTGCTCGGTGCTACCACCAACTGGGGTACTGGTGGAGTTGAACCCAACTTGGTTTAGAGTAGCCCCGCAAGGAAGTCAGGTTCTGGAAATAAAATTGAGTGTGAATCGAACACTCGATGGATTCAGTTTCGGTGAGATTGTTTTAACAGGAAGTTTGAATCACATTGTGAGAATGACCTTATCAGTTATGCCAGTCTCGATATCCTAAGTGTAAGGAGGTATGGATTTGTTTCACCACTCCGATGAGTCATGAGTATTGGTTCAGACAAACGCAAACGCAAACATTACAGTAGATCTATAAAACTCATGCGTGCATTAAAACTTGTGTATGCACTTGTCTGATCTATATTCAAACTGAAACAGGTAATACAAAATAGTTGCAGTTGTCATTACAAGCCTATATTTGAAGTTGTTACAGTATTTCATTGTACTCAAATCAATATTTTATTTTCCTGCAAATATCTTGGACATACATTAAATGTATCCAATGATAGTTGTAGATACTGGATAAATTACAGTAACATCTTCAGTAAAATATATACCTCAATTAGCAGGGTAAAGTAGCTTGCTCCAACTGTAAATGTACGATAAAGAATTACACATCCTTCTGATCTGAAATTCAATCGCCCCTTCACATTTTTTTACACTGTACTTTCTGAATGCATTTTAGTCACCCTTGACCTTCGCACAATCATGTACAAAATTGCAAAGCTTGCCAATAATGACACACGGCTGGATGTCTAATATGATATGTCGATGGCTTCATGATCTGGAGTCTTATACGCAAAACCTGATTCATCGCCTGAGCGCCTTTTAGCCACGCTCGCCCTTTGCATTAACCGGACCAGTGCTTGCACAACTTCAGACATGGGAGGCCGAAACTCTGGTTCAGGCTGCATAAAAAATGCAGATGATTATCCATTTGCTGCATCATCACATCTAAAGTTTCTGAAGAATTAATAGAAGGAAAAATAAGCTGTAATCTTTTTGTTTTTAGCAAGTCCATTACTCAATGTTGGTGCCTCCAAATCAATGTTGGATGCAGAGACAGACTGACACAAATTAAGTAGCCAGAGAGTGGCTGCCCTCAGACACAGACTTCCATTATAGTGATGTCTAACCATACTTTTTGCTAACAAGCTTGAATAAGACAGCATGAGAAGGTTCTTACACCTATTTGTTTGCCCAGGAAACATTTAATCATGCGGGATTGACACTTGAATCCTAAAAGAGTAAGACATTAGTCAGCCATTCTCATTGTTTCTCTCCACTGAACTTTAAAGGCATAATTGCACTTAACCCTCCTATACTATCATTTTGTGGCACATAACGACCCTGAACTACAAAAAAATATATATATATTGCACATTATCCCCTTGCTGTTTGTTGTCCATTAAATAAGGAGGTGAAATGAGCAATAAAGTCATTTCACCTCCTTATTTTACGAATAACTAACGGCGATGGGGTAAGGTATTTTTTTTTTTTGATAGTTCAGGGGGTTACGTGCAATTAAACCAACTTTGAAACAAGACATTGACTAACTTAGCCAAGCAACATGTAAGATTGCTAAAGGATGTGATTTTTCATTTTCAATTTTTCCCAAACACCACAATAGTATGCTGTTGATCATGCTTCGTTTTGCTTCATCAGATAGTCCTCTTCACATAAAAGCGAATGGAGTTTTTATATAGTACCACTTGTTCATGCACCAGTCAGTTTCATAAATATCCAGAAACCAGCAGAAGATTAGATCAGATTTAGTAAACATGCATACAAGGTACATGGACATGCTTAGGAACTCGTCATTTTAGAGTTGATGGCAACTTCATCCACCAAATTAAAAATTTCAGACAATGAGTTCCTCATAAAATTGCAGAAATTAAAGAATACAAGATCATCCTCACATTTATATAATTGACTTACAAAGGCTAAACTCAACACAGCTACTACTGGGCCTGTCAACAGTAAGAAAACTTTACCTGAACACAGAGGGCAATGATGTCAGCAAAACGTGACAGAGACTTTGCAGGATACATGCCATTCAGTGCAGGATCAACCATTTTTGCCAAGGCATCTATATCATGGAGTTGGGGAGTAGCCCATCTAACAAGCGACTGTTCTGATCGTGTCCTTGAACTAAACAATATGAAAACCAAAAAGCAGGAAATGGACAGACAAATCGAAATCAAGACATTGAATAAATTGTAAAAAAAAAAAAAAGAAAAAAAAAAAAAAAGACAAGATGTAAATGCTACGATTTACTAATGGAGGATAGATTCTACCTATCAAGTGGCTTCCGACCTGTCAAGAGCTCCAACATCACCACCCCAAAGCTATATACATCACTTTTTACAGTGTATATTCCAGACAAGGCAAATTCAGGAGCACTGTAACCAAATGAACCAACCATCTGAGTTGACGATACCTGTCAAACATTGTAAAATCAAATTAAATCAATTTGATATAACAAAAGAAAGACTACCAAAAAAAAAAAAAAAAGATAAACAAAAGAAAGCAAAAAGAAAAATAAAAAAAAATAGAGAGAGTATTTAGACAGAACGTCAAACGTGACCACAATGCATAAGAAAATGAAAGTTTGCTTGTCGTGCCCATAAACCTCTAAAAACTAATGACCTGTTTCTTGGCCAAGCATAGACCACCATATGAACTTTTTCTTTTTGGGGAAGATCAAAGAACACCTCTCACTCTCAGACAAAGATATGCATCAGCTATTACTAATATGGACAACAATTTCCAGTCCGAGTAATATACCTGTCGCTCTGTGTTAGGTGTTAGAGCAGCTAGGCCACAATCTGACAAATGAGGATTGAGCTCTTCGTCAAGTAAAATGTTTGCTGACTTGAAATTTCTATGTACAACAGAAGGCAAGCACACTTCATGCAAATACCTGAGAGAAGCAGCTTCGATTTATAAAGGAAAAAGGAGAGAGAGAGAGAGATATATTTTAATACTCCACATATACATACTCGAGAGCTCGAGCAGTGCCAAGTGCAACTCTAACACGTGCATTCCACGTCAATGTCTTGCTCCTATCATCGGCAAAGTGCAGCATATCGTGCAAGCTCCCATTTCCGATATAATCATAAACCAGAAGACGTTGCCCATGCTCTGCACAATATCCCACAAGCGTAATGATATTCGGGTGCCTCAGGCGAGACATATTTGAAACAGCTTCAACAAAGTTATCCTCCTCCTGTAGTGATAGTGCCGCATTATCGATCTTCTTAATTGCCATTATCTAGAACAAAGTAACATATTTCATAGTTAGTTCATTATCATGAATGCATAAGATAAAAGCAGAAAAAAATAACTGCTGTATCAATGTGGCAGTGCCATACTTAAACACAGGTGTTGTCAAAAAGGAATGTAGAAAGAGCATTACAATATTAACCATTTATCCGGCCTCTGACATCAAAGTGGGAGGATTTGGCAAAAACGTGTTATCATAATCCAACCAAAAAATAATGGAGACGAGTAGTGAGCACAACAGCGTTTACCATGATAAAATAAAAGTAGTTCAGAAGATGGGTTTCTCAACATTCGATGCGACTCATTGACTATAACATATCTCAAAGAGATGGACTAAATCAACATTGAAGTTGGCACTGGATCATTGAGATCAAAATTGAAGTGCAGAAACATGATTTATGACCCAAATAAGGATTCAAGCCTCAGGCCTGAAGTGGGAAAATTTAGACATCCAAAAGTCATTGCAGAGGGAAAGAAAAGTTCTCTATGACAAATTGAGAAAAGCTCAGGCTTGATGTAGCTCGGTTGACCCTGAGAAGCAAGCAAGCAGACAACCTCTCAAAAGGTATAGCATCAAGCAGATTCTCTGAGCTGAATAGTTGGATGTCCAATGATTGATTCTCTGAGAAATATTGTCATGCTTAGGTTGAAGATGCTGCGTGAGGAATTGGAAGACCAAATACAATTGCATTGTGGTAGTTGGATAAAATGCTGGCAAAAGTATGATTCTAGATACAGCAGGATGGCAAAATGTATTATCTTTCCAAAATTGTTGGCAATGCTGTCTTGTTGAATTAAGTAATGCTGCACTTATATAAAATCAATATGCTGATTGATAATACAAGGAAAATTACTCATGTAAGAAAAATAATGAAGATTAGCTGCAATCTATGTAATATGTTAGAACAATAAAAACAGGGGTCCTGCCATTCAATAAGGCAAGGATCTTCCCCTCCGGTGCAAGATAATCACGGGAATAAACAGAAGTCAAAGTGAAACACAAGCAAAGAAGAAAGACAGAAGTTCCCTTTTGATGGCTTTTATGGCTTGATCAAAGGCTACATAAATCTGGGATGTGATCAAATAAAGCGTGCACCAAGTTGATAAACCAACAGAAACAATTTGATTCTTATATTGGACATCGCAAGGGAACTACAATGGGAATAACTAGAAGAAAAAATGCAACACAAGAAAGGAAAACTAGAAAGAGAGCAATGTCCTCCTAATGGGTTTTATATGGTCGGATTAACAATCGTCTGAGATTGTGATGTAATGTAATCAATCCAAGCCTGCAGAAAAGCGATTAGGCAATGGAGATGATTTAGTTCTTTGATTGGAACTCGTTTTGGGAACTTATGTTCTCCTGGATCTTATTTTCCCTCAATATTACTTAAGGCCACATCCGAGGACAACCAGCCACATTATAGTTTTACTGGTGTTCCTTCGGGAAATTTTTACATCACATTAACAATATACCCTGCTATGGGATTGCTAAAGTACAACCCCCTTTTGAACGGCTAAAACAGTGGAAGTGCCTCACCTTTTTATGAATGAAGATTTTATAAGCAATAAAGATATAATCACAACATAAGTTCAGATACAACCACAACATGATGGATTACCTTTCCATTGGAAAAATCTGCTCTATAAACACGACCAAGAGAGCCTTCACCAATGAGATTTTCTTGGCTGAAGCTGTTTGTTGCTACCTGGAGAGAAGCAACTGTATAAGAAGTAGCTGTTATAGGGGACTTCACCCTGTGTGCAGATCCATTTTTCCCTTGTATCCTATCAACCATCACTTTTTCTGCAGGTGGGGGCTTCAGATCTGCCACAATAGCCTTGGATTTTACCCTCTGCTCTTGCATTTCTGTATTCAATACATGATGAAGCATAATGCATCATGGAAAAGGCCAGGATATCAGCACAAAAGCTTTCAGCTTCATCTTAAAATTAATCAAGTTTCGAGGCACAACAACATGTTAGAGAATATCAATATCAATTTTCCTGGCTAAATAACATGTTCACAAATTAATTAACATGATCTGGGAACAAATTCTATGGAATCCACACACAAACAAAATTATATAAGACACATTAAATTGATAGTAATGTCCGCTCACTACATGGTCACTGGTTTTGGAGATCTTGTTCTTGATGGACCAAGAAACGACTTCCTAAAGTATGACTGATCTTAGCAATGGTAAAAAATATTACTTTTAGTTAGGTTAGATTGCAACAATATATATGGAGTTCAAAAATAGATATCTCAACCCATTTTAATCACTTTAAACTAGACCAATGGGCAACATTCTTCTCAACCCCAATTCATGTTCATAAGTGAAGGAATAAACAGACTCCACAAGTGAGGGTGGGCCTTGATGCAACGGTAAGGTTGCTCCATTGTGACCTGGAGATCACGGATTCAAAACTGGAAACAGCCTCTCCATGCAACAGTAAGGCTGTGTACATCTAACCCTCTCCAGACCCCGCAATGGTGGGAGCCTCGTGCGCTTGGCTAGCCCTTTTCTAAGTGAAGTAATAAACAGGAAACAGTTGCCTTGATCTATCTCCTGCCTCGACATTCCAATTATCTTCACATTCTAATGTGTGATTCACCATACTGAACTATTAACAAAATTTTTTGTTCACCTCTTTGAAAAAGCTTGAATCAAAAGCTTCATGACAAAACTCTAGGTTAAAGCTGAGACCATCTTTAGGCTTCAAGAGTGTTATTTTACAATAGATTATCCACCAAGTTATAGGGAAAATTTTATATGACAACCATAAGACAAACTAAATTTCTATTGTACAGAATGGTTGGCAATCAACAATCAGTTTATGAAAAATGAATGTAGCTGAGATATGACGGATGGGAAGCAAATAGGAATAAATATTGTCAATATCTATAATAATAAAGGATGGCACTGGTTAAAAGATAGAGATGGTATTAATTAAGGATAAGAATAGGATGTGCAGTGAAGCTGAATGATTGCACTAGTACAAAGGAATGATTTGATTCAACAAAATATTATAAAATAAAAAATAAAAAATAAAATAAGGGAGGGATTATCAAATCTAGAGGTGGTATTGGTTAATGATAAAATAAGCGAAAATTCTGTAATGGTGCAATGGTTCAAATGTGCATTGTAGCTGAATGAATGCACCAATGCAACAGAGTAATTTTGATTAAGTTAGAGGCATTAAAGCAACGAGCGGAATGAGTGGAGCACAGCAAGGAGAAGAGACATGATGGCTTAAAAGATATAGCACCAAGATAGAGCTGTATGGTGGAATAACATTTGTTTAAGTAGCCTCAAATAATTGGGATTAAAGTTTTATTCGATATAGTTTAGTTGATGTGTGCATTGTGAAGAATTCTAACATTACAAGATAGTTTTACAAAGTACAGAATATCTCATCCTATTAAGCAATATATAACTTGATATGTAAGTCTAGAAAAATGCATGAGCCTTTTGAGCAGTAACACTAAAACAGACGTGTTAAAACTGTCAACAAAAACACTTTTTTTCCCCCTGAATTCAACAAAAGAACTTTAGAAAGGAATCAACTTCAATCATCAAATGCCAACACTGAATTATTTTATACCCATAGGGAATCACGAAGCTAATATTGAAAGAAGATATTAAAGATCTCTTCCTAGGAAAACAAATTTGTTAAAGGATTTAAATATGAAAATTACACCCTCTCTAATGAGTAGATATAGGGTGTGCCGAGCATACCATGTCATTGGTATGCCCACCCAATAAAAATTTACCAAATCGGTTCGTGAGATCAGTTTATAGTAGTTTTTTTTTAAGTGGTGGGGACCAATTTCTTTGTAGGGTGGATTTTCATTGGTTGGGTATACCAATGACATGGCATGCCCGGCTCACCCAATATCTTCTCCTCCCTAATAGCTTAAGCTTTTGGAGTAGATGGTTGTCGACATGGTATCAGAGCCAAGGTGTCGAGTTCAGCTACACCCTCTCTAATAGCTTAAGCTTTTGGAGTAGTTGCTGACAAAATTAATTATGATACCCCTCAAAAAAGAAAAGATAAAGGGAACTTTTCGCTATCTAAATACATAATAAGAGTTTAATGTGTCAGGTATTAGAAATAAGGAAATCACAGGCAAACCAAAATAAAAGGTACAAAAATAGGGAAAACAAAGAACATTTTCCTTAAAGTGAAAAAAGGAAGAGCTACCTTGATCTGCACCAACAACAGGATTTCCGGTAGAAGTTCTCGCAGTACTTTCTTTCCTTTTGCCCCTTCGAAGGCAAAAAATAAGAACAAGCAATGCAAATAGAACCACCATGGAAGAACCCAGAATTATCCCTATAATAGGTCCAGTTGTCAATCCATTCTTTTTATTTTCATCATCTGGATTGGATGACTGGCCATTGGGAGTATGTGCACCTGGAGGAGAATGGCTGCGATTGTTAGGTGATCTACTCGAAGGGGGTGACGTATATGGAGGCGGAGGAGGAGCAGGTCCATTATCAAATGAATTCCCATCATATCTGTTTTATTAGGGGCTGAATTAGAAATATTGGAAAGTTGAACATTAGAACATAAATAACATGTAAAACAGTAATAGCATACCTAAAATTAGGGATAGAAATAAGCTCTTTTGGAATCCATCCACTGAAATTGTTGTTTGCAACATTTCTGTAGGAAATTTAAGGCATAAGGAATGGCAGATTGGTACATTTACAACACAGGCCCCAACTTAAGAAAAATAACTTACAGATCAGTCAAAGGCAAACCAGTGAGAACATTGAGAAACCCTGTCAATTGATTGTTCTGCACATAGCTGCCACAAATTCAGATATCATGAGATGTTCAAACAAACTGGAGAAAAAATAATAATAAGAAGTAGCACTCAACTACACTCACAGGGTAGAAAGATTTGACAATGAACTAAAGGAACTGGGAAGATCTCCAGTAAAGTTGTTGAAAGAGAGATCCCTGCATTTGCAAGCATGTCAATTCTTAAAATATATTCAACCCCACTGGGAAAGAATCAGGTTTTCAGCTTCAGATATCAATGTAATTATTAATATTTTAAGAAAGTGATTTTACACAAACTCCAAAGATAAAGCCTTCACAGGGGCTTCATGCAGATTGATTTGACAATTCATGATATAAACTCATGCTAATTTAAACAGCAACTAAACAATATTTACAGGAATTGTAATTATTTATATGACCTCACAAGTCACAAGCAAACGTAGCATCAAATTAATAACACATGCAAATTGATCACTTTGGAAGAAAATGATCAAACAAAGATAAAATGTAATAATAATAACTTACCCTTTTGAGTGCTTTTCAATGACATTACTTATCTAAAAAGAAAACACTGTATTCAATTTGTCGGCTAATTGATCAATAAGCTGAGAGAGAGGGGGAGAGAGAGAGAGAGAGAGAGAGATTCACATTCTTCATTGACTTGAGAAAAGCACAGTCAGCCTAGTTAGATGACATCTATAGCAGAGCAAGCGATTCTAGCATAAATCATAGCTAATTTCCAAAAAAAAGAGTATATTTCTTAACAGCAATAAGATTATGAATCATATTTAATCTTGAAGCCCCTCCTAAATTCTCAAATAGCATGCTGTGTGTGTCAACACAACTCACTATTTCTATACATACAAATGACTTGTGTTTTTGAGTGTGATAGCACTACAGTTGCAGGCTTGCAGGCCTCCACCAGAAGATCTTTTAAGAAACCACCTAAAATAGAAACACCGTCTGTATGTTTTTATATCTCATTCTATCTCATCAACTTGGTAAATATTTAAGCCTTGTAGGTACACGCATTTTTTGTGTAGCATAGTAGCTGCCAGTGTATATGTTGGTAGGATTATAGAAAACATAATGCCACAATTCAAATCGTGGCAAGGGCACTTAAATTAGAACTGCAAACATAGTGATCATACAGTAAGATTGAAGTAAATATCAGAAGGAAAGGATGCAAATGAGTTGTAATGAACATTTCTTGATGATGCTTACAGTTACAAATAATCAATATTCAATCAAATTAACTTGACCATTTGTAACGACCCACTCCACCACATGGTATGATATTGTCCGCTTTGGGCCTGAGTCCGCACGGTTTTGCTCTTGGGCTTCACCCCAAAAGGCTTCATACCAATTGGAGATGACACACTTACATATAAGCACTTCACCTTTCCTTTACCCAGGCGATGTGGAACTTGTGCACCCGTAACTCGCCAATGTGGTAGCCTGTCAGTGTCTCGCACTCGCCCACGGCACACCCGCCCACAGGGTCATCACAATCCACCCCCTTGGAGGCCTGATGTCCCCGTCGGCACACTTCCGGCTGGGTCAGGCTCTCATACCATTTGTAACGACCGACTCCACTACATGGTTTTGAATTTGTACAGAATTCCCAGACATTCGAAAGGAATTGAAATTAAAATTAATTTTTTTTTGTGTGTGCGTGTGTAGAAGGGAGGAAACATCCACAAGATATCTTCACAAGAGGAGAGTACAAAATTTTATTTAAAAAGAAAAAGAAAAAAAGAAAGAAAAATCACAAGAGAAATGATAGGTCTTCCGACCTTAATTGCCGACTCATCCCTCGAATACAACGTGGTTGAATCCCGTTGGAACTCTTAAAAAAATTCCCGTAAACATCTCTTTCTCTTCGATTCATTCCCAACCACGTTATATTCGGAGAAAGAGTCGGCAATTGAGATCGGAAGATCTATCACTTCTCAAATCACAATTAAGGAACAGTTAAAAAACAGCACATTCTCCAGCAACAAAATAGGACGCAACGAGAGGTCGTTCTTTAAATTGCCACAAATAAGTCCCATTTCAAAGTGATCAATTGGACTCAAGAAAGGTCTATAGAAATGAAGTAAGCTCTGGCCAATTAAAAACAAGAAACCGTGACAATAAAATTGTTTGCGAAAATATTATAATCAGCAAATATCATATGCAAAAGGAACTAAGAACAACCAAATTACAATGTTTATACACATCAGATAACTTACAATGTCCCAAGGCCAGAAAGATTCGCAAAAACATCTCCAATTGCCTGTGAGAGTGAATTATGGCTAACATTCCTAAAAACAAGAACTTTGGAGTTAGGCAATAAGAAGACTTTCAAAAATGTAATTGAAGCTAAATAAATATAAATATGTAACAACATATTTTTGATAGCTTCCAATACATGCCACTTACATGTAATTAATATTAACCATGTTGAAAATTGAATAAGGAAGATTTCCGCTGAAATTGTTCTTAGCAAAATTTCTGCAACGCACAACAGATAAACAGTTGGCACATAAGCTGTTAAATTAAATGGCTCTAAACAAAGTGAACAATTAAAGAATGATTGAACATTACAGGCTCGTAAGGTTCGGTGGCACCTGATATGGGATTGAATCATGAAGGTTGTTGTCACTGATATCTCTGCAACAAACAAACATAAAATCAATTAGACAACACAAATGGCCCAAAAGAAAATTTTATAATGAATTAAATCATGAGTTTCCTCACAATGATCTCAACGACGTAAGGTTCGAAAGTAAGTATCCCATTGTTCCGGTGAGTCCTAATCCAGGAATCTGACTGTTAAATCAACAACAAAATGCCTCGTTAGCCAAATCAATGCATCAATATACCACAAAATACAATCTGAAAGAACAAGATAATCTAATATCTAACATACAAACAAATACATGTAGGTCCAAGTTTGATAGGCCGCACACACACGCACACACTCACATGGAAACAACAGCAGAACCCTGGCAGCTCACCCCTTTCCATGACTCTCCACATGGGTCGCCACCAGTCGCTTTCCAACCCGTTAGCTGTGGAGAACTGTTCAATGAAGTGTACATTACCTGAAGTGCTTGAACTGCAAGTTCAACAAAACAATACTCAGACCCCCCAAAACAAATAAATCCCCAAAACAATTACATCAAATAATTAAACACTCACAATACATGCTGGTGAGTCTATACATACATACATCTACAATAAAACTAAAATCCCCTCATTTAAAAACTCAATACTCAATTGTTAACTTGCACCGACTCTAAACCTCATTAATTATCTAAACAAAAAACATCGCAATGCCAAATCAACGAATCACAAAATCAAAGCAGTAAAACAAATCAAAATGAAGAAAGAAGTACCATCTGACGGATCAGTAGTGCCTTCAACAATGCCAAGAGCAAAGATCGTGGTCATTACGATTAGCACAAACTCAATACGAAGCCAAGAGATCAGTGGAGTGGCTCCGTTCTTCTCCATTTTATCTATTTTTACAGTGTTACTGCTAGAGGAATCAGACTGACCTAGTAAGCATGCAAGAACGCCATGAAGTGAAGAAAAAGAAGAGGTGAGATCGTCACCAGCAATCCTCGCCATTGTTGTAGACAATTAAATAAATGGACTATAAAGCAGAGCTGAGATTCGAAGCTTAGAGTCCTAGAGAGAGTATATATTTTATATATATATATCAAATATATGTGTGTTTTGTGTGTCGGCGAAAAAGGAAAATGAGTTGTTTATGGTGGCATATGTAAGAAAAAAACTAATATAAACAGTGGAAAAGTTGGTGTGAAGCAAGCAAGCAAAGGATGACTGTGTGTGCGTCTGTAAACGAAAATGGCAGGAGAAAAATTAAATGTGAGGATGGGAGTATTTTTATTGCCCTTGATGATGAAAGTTTATTGCGATAATGCCAGTGCGGACCACCGACGCCGACGAACGGACTTGGAGTCGGAAAGTGGCAAGCAGATTGGAACTAGTGTTTGGGGATTTTTGGAAAATGACTAAAATGTCCTGATGTGAACTGCTCTGGACTTTTCTCTGTTTTTGACTTGGATGTGTGCCATCACTTTTTAGTGGGTGGGGGGATCCAGCAGAATTACAAGACTATTGAGTGGTGACTTTTTGTTTTTATTTTTATGTGTGCATGCATACACATTCTATATAATTGATCGGGTAGTCCAAACTATTCATGGACAAGTTGGTCCAAAACAAAAATGTCCTTATTCACAGTTATTTATTTATTTTTTTGGATGGCAAAATGGGCTAGAGGATAATGGTAGATCAATAAATTGTCATTTGTAAACAATCCTAGAAAATTAATTTTTAGTATGTTTTGTATGAAACTTGTGACCATAGCTTTTAAAGAGAAAATGGTGTTGGAAAAAATTATTGAAACAATGATGTTTATTTTGCTTTGAAATTGACATTTAAAAACAATGATACAAAAGTTTTGACCATTTTGATAGGTTGTATGTAAAATGAAAATTTGAGGGCTTGAACTATAATCCAAATACTTATACAAAAGTTTTTTTAATTTGCATTGATAAAATACTAATTAAACATAATTACAGCTCTTTCAATTTACTAAGCTACATTTCATAGGATTAATGAACAATACAAATAACAACTTATTAGGAGAATTGATGTCTACGGAGAAACAAATTATTCTCATCCTTGCTTTGTCAATCCATATATTAAAGAAGTAAAGTGTGCAAAACTCTTTTTGTAATTTCAATATCATTTTTTTAGATTATTAAATTAAAAAATAATAATTTCACTCAAATCGAAAAACAGCTAAATAACCTAAAAGAAAATTGGCTAATAAATAACTTCATGTGGATCACACATTATATCATCTCACCAAGATTTTGTGGTCACTTTTAATTTCACTTGGATTATTCAGTTTCTTTTTTGGGTTAAAAAGCATTATCTTATTAGCAGATATTATATTTAATTTAGTAATCTATTTATTAATTAATTGAGAATGGAAAAACTACTGATACTGTTAGGACCGAAATAAATTACCTCTATCCTAAATTTATAATAATGACATAAAATATGAATGCTAGATTGCCCCCTTCAATGCTCATAAAAATAGAATGAACATTTTCAATTTCGTGAAACATTGTCTAAATGACTTTTTGGCATAAAATGCAGTTAATTAATTAGGGTCCCAAATTATTGACTTTGGACCTACCGCTAGAGGTAAATATCCCATTATACCCTCCCATGAATGGAAAGCAATTAACAGCCCGTGAGTTGTCTTGGATTCGGCTACCAAAATAAAATAACAGACATTCCCACTTATTTGTTGTAAATCTGTAATCCATTTGTTCATCTACAAATATAAATGTAAACAAGTGAATATCAATATATGTATATATATATATATATAAACAAACATACGTAATGTATATGTAGAATATTCAAAGTATTTGACATGATAATAGAGGAACAAGGTTGGTGAGTAACAGTCGGCAGAGGCTGAAAAGTCATTTGAAAAATAGATTATGGAATTCGGTGGGTCCTCTAATTTCTCTAGGTTGCATGTCTTACCTCACGTCCCATCATTTTTCATTTTTTCTATCAATTATGCTTCAATTATTGGTTACCTGCCCCGATGACCCATCTGTGACTCTCTATATTTGGCTCTGTTACTAACTTACTATGTCACGCATTCGTAATAGTATTTATCATATTGGAAACATAAAGTTGTTTAACCATTTCTGCTCAACAAATTTTTTTTCCCCTCCGTGCTCAACAATTACTATTATATACATAGTCCCAAATGTCTACAGCTTTGCACGAAAAACTAAAATATAATAATAATAATAATAAAGGCCAATTTCATAAAATCTCCTCTATTTTTTTTATTTTGATCATAAACTTTCAATCTATTTCATAAACTTCCTACACTTTAAAAAGTAATCACATTGCTCCAATATTTATATTCGACCCGTTAATTGGGTTGTGAAATCACATTGCTCCAATATCCATCTTAGGGTTTTGCACTATTGGATCTTCAAATCAAGGTAAAATTGAAGGGAGAAAAGACGGGGTGAACCGCTAACTCTTTGTTGTGTCTGTTTTAGGGTGTGTTTGGTAAGGTTGATTTGGAGGTATATAGAGAGAAAAGAAAAGATATGATAGCGTGAGAGTGTGTTTGAGTAGCTTAAGTAGAGAAAAAAGAGAGGATAGGGAGAGATAGGGAGGGATAACTCTCTCCCAAATTGAGAAGATATCCCTTATATGTTTTTTCTCCCAAATTGAGAAGATAGGGAGAGAAAGGATAGTGAAGTAAGTTGTAAAATTTTAATACCCAAAATACCCTTCACAAATCCACATACAGAAAAGTAATTCCATTTATGTTCCAATTATATAATTACTAGGGCAACAACCGATATGATGTATAGCAAGCATTTTCCATTCATGGGCATAAACATTTTACTAATTATCCATTTAGATTAGATCAAGATCCAATTGGATGTATAGCAAGCATTTTCCCATGTACAGATATTTGAGAATTGCGCCATGACCTTTATGAATTTACCCACTTTAACAATTCATCTTCTGTAATCTGGATCACTTCTAACCTTAGTACAACCATAGTTTCCATTCTTACAACCCTGGGTCAATAGCTGCACTAAAATGAGTGTTTTTTATAGCCACCTCAGTACCAACATTAACCTTCGTAACATTTGCTTTTAGATTATCTAACTTAGTTAAGTGTTGGTTCCTAAGTCTTCTAACTGGAATCTACCACAACCTATTGGACTACAAAAAAGTTAGCAATAACCACAGTGAAAAAAATAATACTCTAATTATTTAGTCATGAAAATAATTACTGTATAATAATAATTAGACATGAAAATTCTTTAGCATATATAATTGTTGGATTCATGCTCTTCTCTCAGTATATTTGTATCACACATATATGTGTGAATGTGTGTGTATATGTGCAACACTTTCTTAGGGTTGTACAAGAAATTACTTCAAAATTTTGGAGGACCCCCACGTGTATGAGAGGCTATGCATCTACTTTCAATTTAAAAAGAAAAAAGAAAAAGGTGTAGGGTGATGACCAGCATAAAGGATAGGACAGTAATTTGGTCACTATCTTTCTTTCTTCTTCTTCTTTTTTTATTTTTTATTTTTTTATTTTTTTTATTTTTTATCCAAACAAGAATAATTATCATTTCATTTCTTTTCTCCCCTATCTATAAAAACACGAATAGAAATTATTACTATCCTTTCTTTTTTTCTTTTCTCTCATAACTAATATTATCCTTTTTTTTTTTTTTTTTTTCCTCTATTTATCCAAACACACCTAGAGAGAGAGAGACTAAGAGGTGAGAGTTTTAAAGAGAGAAAGAGAAGGGGTGAATGGGTTGGGTTGCAGATAGAAGGAGTACGGATGGAGTGTGTACACACAAATTTTGTAAGTCTGCAATATAAACAAAATATGGGCAAAATAAAACTTTTATTAATTTGTGAATTTGGAGTACAATCCTTTGTGATATCTTTTACAAAAAGAATGGTCCTCTAATTCGATCTTCTTTTTGTTGTTGGTTAGATCCAAGGGCTGCACGATCTTGATCTTGAATCACCGTGGAATTTGGATGAAGAACGGCACATTTTTGGATGTGCTTGTTGTTGATCACCGTGAAATTTGATGAAGAACGGCACGTCTTTGGATGTGCTTGATATTCTTCGTTTTTGGGTTTAGATTCTGAATTTGAGTTTCTAGATTTCTGAGTCTCTAGATTTCTGGACTTCTGAATTTGTGTGCCTGAATTTCTAGACTTCTGAATTCGTGTCTGAATTTCTGGACTTCTGAATTCTGAATTTGTGGCTGAATTTCTGAACTTCTGAATTCTGAATTTGTGTCTGAATTTATGGACTTCTGAGTTCTGAATTTGTGTTCTTTGTTGAATTTGAGGAAGAACGACACGTCTTTGGATGTGCTTGTTATTTTTCGTCTTCAGAGAGAAGAGAATTTGTTAAATTTGGTGAAGAACGGCACGACTTTGGATGTGCTTGGTGTTCTTCGCCTTCAGGTTTGCCCTCAGGGTTTCTGGCCCTCTGGATTTCTGATTCTCTCAATTTTTGGACTTTCTAGACTTCTGAGTCTCTAGATTTCTAGCCTCTAAATTTGTGTCACTTTCTCCCTTCCTCCAGGCCTCTATTTATAGGCTTTTTGGATCCAAAGGATGATGACACGTGTCCTCTCTGATAAGGAAAATATCATAACTGGGTCGAGCTGGTTATATTATGATAATTATTCTTAAAAATAATTATTCCAAATATATTTTATTAGGAATAATTATTCTTTTTTATTTAACCATCTGGACCGGGCTTAATTAAATAATTTAAGTGGATCAAATTTGGGCCAATTAAATAACTTAATTAAACATTAGGCCCATATTTAAAGGGTCCATTTGTCCGAATCAAAGTCACTAAAATTTTAGTGTCTACAAATTGCCCCCACTTTAAGTCCCAAGCTTAACAAGACTTGTCTTCTTTTTCAAGTGGGACTTGAAGTATCCAACTTTCCTTTTTTTTTTTTTTTGCTTTCCAATCCAACTTTGGACTTGAATTTTACTTTCCAATTTATACAAATCCCTTGCCTATATATACCACCCAAGTCATAGGGTTTGACATCAATTTCAATCGGCTCTGAAGGATTTGTAAAATTACAGCCTCTGAAGATTGTGTTGGATTGCGAGATCTGCTAGAACACATAGGTATGACTGTTCATTTCTTTTATTTTTCTTCTTCTTTCTTTTTTTTTTTTTTTTTTTTTTTTTTTTTTTTCACGCTTCCTACAAGCTTTTTTCTCTCCACGCTTGTTGTAAGAGAAAGTTTTTTTTTTTTTTTTTTTTTTTTTTTTTTTTCACGCTTGTTGGAA